CTGGATAGCTGGCCAATCACAGCACACCTCGCTCTTCAGACTGATGAGCTTTGTAAAAATCGATGCGTTTCAGAAAGGTAGAGGAGAAACAATAATGTATAGTATGTGGAAAATAATGTGGTTTTTTAACCTTAAACCGCATAAACACATTTCATTACACCAAATACACAAAATAATGTTCTTTTTTAGCAACGTCATATGACCCCTTTAAAAGCATATTATTTTTGTAAATACTCCTTTTATGTTAAGTATGCTAAAGTGTGCTTCATTTTTCACAAGGGTATTTATCTGTTTAGGCTGTGAAGTCTCTTTTTTAAGTAACATGACTAAATTGCTGGCTATTGTTAAATGGCATGGGGCCAAATGAAGAAAGCAGCAGTAGAAAGTAGCTGGTCAGGTGAAGTGTTTTCCTTTTCTAGAGCATCTACACTTGTTAGTGCTGTTTGCCAAGTCTAGCATCACTAGTAGGCTACTATTGCTCATAGTGATTTGAACAAATGCTTGAAAACTGCAGCATGTCATTCATCCTGAAGTATGTCAAAACGAGAAGATGGAAACATCCGGCCCGGGGAAACGCAAATGTGCAGAAGGTCCAAAAGCTTGTGAAACGCTGCAGCCGAGCGGCCGTCTGTTTGCCATGAAGCCTCTTGGAGGATTGTGGGAACAAATGAGCAAACAAACCCAGATGCCCCTGAATAAATGCCACGCGATGTGTCAAGACGGGCTCTGATAGTTCAAGGGGTAACAACAAAAAAATAGGGCAGCAGCTCGAGGCTGGTGCAACAAGCAGAAACTGGGCCGGACGGACAACTTTGGACTTCTGTTGGCACTCTGAATAGTGCACTGCATTTATAGTCTATAACATGAAGCATGCAAATCCCTTCACACACTTACATGTAATCAGACTGGTTTAACTGTCTCTTTTGCAGCCAGCTGCGACCATGGCGGACCCTCCAACAGGCCCACCTGAGGATATCAACAAAATCAGCTTCTGGATGGTAAGAAAAAGGCTGTTCCAAAGCCTAGTGAGCTGCTTTCCTGTCTGCTCCCTACATAGGCAGCATCACAGCTGAGATTGAACCTCAAAAGTGACTGATTTGGAACATTCCACCACACAAAATAGCAATATAGACTCGATTCACAGGTTTCATAATTCTCAAGATCACCAGATAACGAATTAATAACGAAATAATTAATTACGAATTATACAACTACTACTGTATAAGAGTGTATATAAAGATTGCACTGATACTCAATTTCTCAGCCAATATTGTTATTCTGAATGATATCGGCCGGTACCAATAGTTTATTCTGATTAAGGAAAAAATCTCTTCCAACTAAAGCTGTAAAATATACAGGAAGCCATCTCATTTGTTACATGATATTAGAGGTTAAAATTAACAACAAAACTACTATTTTCAATGCTATTTATTTTCAGACATAATAATCACACTCAAATAAAACCATTTGTATACAACTCAATTGCACATAAGGTAGTTTTCCTACAAAAAACTTGTCTTCATGACAGATTTATTTAAATATATATAAATAACAGTAAATAAGCTCCTTCTTGTGTTTTTATAGCTAATTAACCAACTGTGAGCACTGGAAACTTTTCTGAGGTAAATGCAACGTTAAGTGACATAATGATCACAAGCCGTTCTTTCAATTGAATATATATATATATACACACACACACACACACACACACACACACACACTCATGTAAAGCGATATATATACTATATAGCAAATCTCAACTACTCGATTGCTTGTTTGTTGAAAAATGTATTGCGCAATTCTTATCTGATAAATGCAACTATAAGGCATAAAGATATTATAAACATCATGATTTTGTGTAGAGCTGATTTACAGCTGAAATTAAATTAGTTTCATAATCAATTAATTTTACAATATTACCATTGTTATTTTCCTGTGAAGCTGCTTTGAAACGATCTGCATTGTATAAAGCACTATATAAATAAATGCAACTCAACTTGGACCCAAGCAAAAATACCATCCGTAGTTCACCATAGATAGATTGAGTTACAGGAAAATAAAATTGAATTCCTTCTGTTCTTGTCTCTTAGCCAGGAAATTACATCCGGACAGTACAGAGAACATCAGAGTCGTACCAGGCTTGTAAAGACATCATAGCATGTATGAAGGACCGGGCTCATGTGGAGCGACAGTACGCCCGTCAGCTGACCGAATGGAGCAACAAGTGGAAATCAATCACCGAGACTCGTGAGTGTCAAAAGCGTATCCTCATTCGGAGTTATTCACCAGCTACATCAAACAACAGGGGGCTGTGTTAAATGATTGGTTTTTATCACTGAGTAGCTCCACCCACAGTTCAATCTCATTGGTCCAAAATCCTGCTCCAGTATTTTCAGAAGCATCACGTCCATTGAATAATGTGCATAATATTCAAGCTTTTGTTATTTTATATTGGAATTTATGTCATTTGTATATGCTATCTTTGAATCTTTGTCAAATAATTTACACAATTATTGTCGGTAAAAATCACTCATTAATATATCTGAATTTTGTCAGTCCAAGATTTTGGGCTATTTTGCTTCCATAACTGTCTTTCAGACTAGTGGAAAGAAAACATCCAAAATACACATTTAAGTGTTTATTTTATTACAACAGATTTTATTACAGTTTTATACCTAGCTATATATATATATGTATATATATAATTTATTTATTTATTTTAGATTTTTAACGAGGGGTTTGCTCATTTTGCTTGATTTTGTAACATTACATTCCTGAAAACATCCAAAACGGTTTTTTTTCCCCTAGGTGTGACAGTATTTTCTGATTTATGTTAAAAAAGAGAAATCCAAATTCATCTCTGTATAAACCTTTTACTCTAATATGTCAACAAAATGAAACAAGAATTTTGAATCTGGCTTTCTCCAATGTTCAGATTTCTCTTCTGGAAGTATACGCAAATTAGTGCATATTTCATTATATAATGCCTCACTGTGAGATCATTTGCTTTAATCTCAAGATTCTGTTGTCATCTACCCCTTATTTTGCTCGTATGAATTGCTCTTTTATATACAACTATTAAAAAATTTGCTGGCTGTCAAGTTCAGTTGCAGTTGTGCTTAGTGTAATGTAATTGGATAAAAGTGTTTGTAACTGAGCTGATTTTCACTGCTCTGTGTGTTTGTCTCTCAGGGCCGCTGTACGGGTCCCTCTTGCAGGCCTGGCAGTGCTTTTTCTCGTCCACTGAGCGTCTGTCTGCCCTTCACACATCAATCTCCCAGTCTCTGGTTTCTGAAGATGCAGAATGCATTCGCTCGTGGCAAAAGGAGACGTTCCCAAGGAAAATGTTCTGCGGATTCAGAGAGTCACATGACCTTGGGACGGCTTTCTCACGTGCTCAGAAGCCCTGGGAGAAACGATTAAAGAAGGTGACAGTTAGACGTATGCTGCTGGTTAATCGGTGTTAATCAACTGAACTGTTTTCACTCCTGTTGGTTCAAAATCAAGTGCAACATCTCAGTATTTTAAAGTAAGACACTACAGGAAAAACCACTGGTCAATTCTGAAATTTTGCTTCCATAACATAACTAGTGGAAAGAAAACATCTAAAATACACATTTAAAGGTGCAGTAAGCGATTTCTGAGAAACCCTGTTAAAAAAGTGGTTCAGACTGAGCACCAAAACACACTTTTAGCCACTCAGCAGTAAGGGGCGTGTCCACTCATGATGGGGGAGGTGCCTGTTGCATAGCATGTTTGTGAATTTGGGGGTGGAGCTATTAAGATAGGGGTGTGGTCTTTTTAGGTAGGGGCGTGTTTGTTGTGGTCATTTCAATTATCAGCAGTTTCTCAGAAATCGCTTACTGCACCTTTACGTTTTCATTTTATTGCACATTATCTATCTGTAGATTTCAATTTACAATGCATTTATTTAAAGTATGCTTTCTTAAAGGAGATATATTATGCCCCTTTTTAAAATATGTAATATAAGTCTCTGGTGTCCCCAGAATGGGTCTGTGAAATTTCAGCTCAAAATACTCCACAGATCATTTATTACATCATTTTGAAAATGCCTATTTTGAGTGGAAGCAGAAACACACTGTTTTTCAGGCCTGCCTCTTTAAATGCAAATGAACTGCTGCTCCCCGCCCCCTTTTCCAGAATAGAGCTGCACCATTACAGCTGGTAACTGCTAAAAAACATCTGTTTTGGTTCTGATTATCATGTTTAGAAGTTTAAACTTCTGATATACGTATTCTGTTTTCTGAACACACACATCCGAAGCACACGGACAGAAAGCGGCTGTCACAGCATGTGAGTACTAAAACGGCTTACCAAAACAAAGTTACTGGGTTAATCTTTTTCACGTTTCCTTGGTTGGTAGATGCACCGGGGACCTGATTATAGCACTTAAAATCTGGAAAAGTCAGATTTCCATGATATGTCACCTTTAAAATATTTTTTTCCCAGACAGAAATCTGCAAGTATCTATATTTTGAGGGGATTGTTCATGTAACATCCATATAATTTACATTTTTATTTTTATGTATACATTTTATGTAATATTTTATTTCTAAACACATGGTACAAAAAAGTATTTTTCTGGCTGTAGTATTTTCACAGTATTTTCTGATTTATGGAGTGATAAAAATAGATCCTCCAAAATCCCCACTATAAAAACTTTTAACGCTAATATGTCAATAAAAATATGTGACATTTCAGAAAACTTATATACATGTAATTTCAGTCTTTCTACTTCAAAATTTAGTTTAATTCAATATGTTACTTGCCATTTTTTGTAATTAATTGTGAAATTTACTAGCAATTTCTCAGTGAAAATAGTTTCTACATCATTTTTTTCAGTGTATACATAATATATATTATAACATTATAATATATAATATTTAGGGATTTTAATTGATTACAGTTTTTAATCTAATTAATTACACGATGTGGTGATTAATTAATCTAATTAATTGCATATTAATTGCACATCAAATTTGCTGAGAAATTACCCACAAAAAGATAGTTTAAAGCAATTATTGTGTTACATGAGAAAAACATGAAAAATACATTACAAACAGTAACTTTAGAAAGACATTTCTATTATTTTTATTTTCCCATTTTTTATTTATTTTCTTTTTACTTTTTACATTTTTGGGTGAACCATCCCTTTAATTATTTTATTATTATTATTATTCATGTGGATTTTTTTATTTTTGTTTTCAGATTTTTTTATCTATCTATCTATCTATCTATCTATTATCTATCTATCTAGCACTGGTGTGATATTGCACTCGTTAATTGTGTTAAAAAGTAATTAATTAGATTAACGTGTTAAATCGACAGCCCTAATATTATAACATATGTTGGAAACTTAAATGAGACACTTAGAGAGAGAAGATGAAATAGTATCTCCAGTGTATTCAGTAGCATGACTGAGAGCTGAATAGAAAATGAAAAGCACTACATGATTCTAATAATACATCTTTGTGTCTCCATTAGCTGGAAAAGGCTCGTGTGGCGTATCATAAGTCATGTCAGAGAGAGCAGAGCGCTCAGGAAAAAGAGACTCAAGCCAAAAACAACGCCAACTTGAGCGAGAGCAAACTGTCCAAGATCCAGCAGGCCAGAGAGAAAGCCACACAGGAGCGCAGCAAGGTCAGTCAGAAATCAGACTGCATGAACAAATGCCAGTTATTGTTATGACTTAATGAATTTGCGTGTTTTTGCAGGCACGTGATCGTTATGAGAAGGTTCTCGAGGACGTTACTGGCTTCGCACCGCGATACATGGAGGAAATGGAGTCTGTGTTCGACCAATCACAGGCGGAGGAGAGGAAGAGGATCAGCTTCCTGAAGCAGGCCTTCCTGTCCATTCACAAACACCTCGACATTACCAACAACGAGAGGTTTAAAACGCAAACAAGCATTTGATGTTATGTTGCAAAGGTCATGTAGACCATTAAAACGATTACACTTTATCTGACATTAAAGCCTTCCGTATATTTTGAAGGAAAACAAATAAAATATTTGTTAGTGTTGTTGGTTTCAGCTATTTCAACTGCAGTAGATGATATGTGTATATATAAAGGATTATTATAGTTAAAACAAAAAATAAAATATTTTATCCAATAAAATTAAATGTCAATTATGAATAAACTTTTTTTTTCAGATACCTGCCATAGAAATATTTCTCATTTAATTTAACTTGAAGTACTAAAATAACTAAAACTAAATAATCAAAAAATAAAAAATAATAAAAACCATATAGACAAAGGACAAAAACACAACAAAAGTACTAAAACATAAACTAAAATTTCACTAGAAATAGAAAATATAAAAATAAAAATATTTTATCTAATTCAAAATATTACCAAAACATAATAATATATCAATGATAATTAAATAGAGCTGAGAATCAAATGATTTACATTTGACATTTCAATTTTAGAAATTGTTTTTTTCCATAAACCCTGCAGGATATTTTTGACAGACAGAATTTTCCAAAACTCCATCCACAGCCTTTTCCTTTTCAGTCGTCTTCTTTAAAGGCAAACAGTGACATGCAAAGATGCAAGTTTGTTGGATTTGTTGGATAAACATTACTTAAGAAAATCAAGTTTTTAGTATTATAGTATTGAAAAGTTCCATTAGCTGCAGTTTTGTCTACAGTCATGTGTATTGTGTGTGTGTGATTGTGTTTCAGTATAAAAGCAGTGTACAGTGAGCTACATCACATGCTCATGTCCATCAGTGAACCGGATGATCTCCGCTGGTGGAAGAACAACCATGGGCCGGGCATGCCGACAGACTGGCCCAAACTAGAGGTGTGTGTGATTGTATGCATTCAGATATTACGAGCAAAACTATCCTTATTATCTATGCTGGTTTATTTTTGTGCCACAAATTAATTAATTTAGTGTTGAATGACTCTCTGAGCTTTAAAATAAGTACACAACCCATTTTATTGTATTTTCATATTGTTATTTATTGCCTTTGTGTGTTTTAATCTTGTAATCTAGTCTGTGTTTTTTGTGTGATTTTGTCTTGTCTGTGTGTTTGTGTGTGTGTGTGTGTGTGTGTTCTTGGTGCAGGAATGGAACCCGCCGATTAAAAAGCAGAAGCCAGGAAAGAAACCAAAAACACACAGAGGAACTGAGGAGAAAGCGTAAGCACACACACATGCAATAAAGGGGTCTATACGTGTACTGTACGTGTCAACTACGAAGACACCTAGGAAAAAACCATAACTTGTCTTCTTTCAGACTAGTGAAAAGAAAACATTAAGAAAACGCATATACGTGTTTTTTTTAATCTATTTGTGTCTGTAGATTTCAAATACAATACATAAATTTCAAGGCCATTTTCTCAAAATGAATCTGAAATCTTCACTTCAGCAGCACTCACATACACCAAAGTGTTAGTTTATTCCTGTTTATGTTCTGAATGTTTTGAACGAAAAGTGTGTTCGTTCGCCTGATTTATATCACATTTTATTCCTAAAAACAGGATGCAAATTCATTTGTTTCTGGCTGTTGACAGTATTTTCTGATTTATGGAGTGATAAAAACAGATATCCTAAATCCCTCTGTAAAAGACAAAAACAAAACAAAACAAGAATTTTAAACCTGGCTTAATCCAGTGTTCAGATTTCTGTTCTGAAAATGCATGCAAATTTGTACATATTTAATTAGATAATGGATCATTTCCAATTTAAACATAACATTTCAGAAAACAAAATAATTGCCTTAATGTATGTGGTTAATCGACTGGGAAAGTATGGTGATACATAATAGTTCAAATGTTTGTCATATTCACCTGTAATGTTCTGCCTTAACTGAGAATTTTTGCATGCAAAGTGCTCTATTAAAATGTCAAAGGTGGTATTAATTAAATCAAGTTAATTAGAAAATAATTAGAATGAATCAGATTAGGAAATGAAATGTGTAAGTATTGAGCAGCAGCTCAATTAGAGCGGCGAGTCTCTTTGGGTCTCCTGCTGTCGGCGTTTCAAATCCTCCTCGGCTGAGCTGATTGAGGCTGGATGAGGACTGATTGTGAGCTGCAGTCACACAGATGAAGTGTGTCATTTGACAAATTGTGCCGTGTACGGCGTTCAGTCCTGTAGCACGTGATGCAGACCTTCATTTCCACTCTGATAAATCAACTGGAGGTGATTTCATCTGGACTAGTCAGCTTGATCAGCCTCAAAGAGATTAAAAATGCAAAATTACAGTATGTTTCTGGCATGATATCTGAATTAAACACGAGGTCATGTGACAACAATGTAGAGTACTACTCTTTAAAATGCTTCTTGCATAATGCATACTTGTTTTAAAATAGTATTCAGTGCATGTTGGCACAGTATGCAGTCTGTGAATATTGCTTTTTTTTTTTTATTTGTCTTTGATTTTTTTCCCATTAGTTATAGTAATAAATTAGTTACAGCGTGTAATAATCTTTGTTAACGTTATATCAAAATGTAGTCCATGTTAGTTCAGGTCCATTAAAAAATATTATATAATTTGAAGGTTACATTAATCTTTTGGTTTCAAATCTCTATCGTTTTTGTATTTTGTTTCAGTGCATTGTCCTGTTGCAAAACAGAATATTTCAAATCCGGGTGCTTTTGTGTTTTTTCCTCCAAGATTTTGTGTTGTTTCACTCCTTTATAAGTTTTGTAGTCCGTTCCTCAGAGATGCATGTATAAAACGTTTCTTCCACTGCCGTGTTTGGCTGTTGGGTTGCTGTGCTCATTGTGATGCTGGAACGGGTTTGTGAGCATCTTTAGCACTTTAAGCATGAAGGCCCAAAGTTGGTTTAGTCGTCTTCCTCCAGTGTGTTTTTGGTTGAGCTCCAGTTGCGATCTCTTCCAGTGTTTTGCTGTTGTCTGGCGCGGTTTGAGGACTGTAACTGCTTTAGGCTTGACAGCTTCTCGTATACAGACTCTTCATTTTGGAGGGCAGCCAGTCCTGGACAGATTCACATTTGTGAATGTCACCTTTCTAAATCTGGTCACCTGGTCTAAATTGTGCTTCAAGGTATAGTCAATGCCAGCGGCTGCCAGTGAGTTAAATGAACGCTTTTGAGGAAGAACTGTTTGCTGGTTTCATTTAGTGTTTTGTTTGATGCATGCAGTAGAAAGAAAAACACGTTTCCTGGATCGCAGATGTTTCTTCTGATCAAAAAAAACAGATAATCTCACCCGTGTCTCCACTAGAGCTCCAAGAGATCTCAACAATGTCTCAAACAGTCAGATTTACTTGATTACACCAATCCTGGATTTCCTGAAACCTGCTAAGAACATGTCGAGATCATGAAAATATTTCCATAATAAAATGAGCCTGCTTTTAGGACCATCAGAATTTTTTTCCCCAATTTTTGTGACTATTTTCATGACAATTAAACACATTTTACACCCAAATTGTTATACCGTCATATTGTGGAAATTGTAATTGAGAAAAAAAATCATAATTTGTTAAAACATTAAATAGTAATTTAGTAACACTATAATTAATGTTAATGTTAATTTAATTAATATTATTTAACTAAATCTAAAACTGAACTGAACTGAAATCAATCTAAAATAAAATCAAATCTAAATATTAGATGGAATGGTTAAACTTGGAAAACATAAACAATAATTGTTGGTAATTTTTTTATAGTTTTTTATTTTTAAAGTTGTAGTTTAACTAAAACTATTAAATAATTTTCTTTAAAGCTGAAATAAAATAAGATATAAATACTAGATGGAAAACTTAAGCTTAGAAAACTTCAAAATGTTTAGTACATTTTAATAGTTTTTTTAAATAGTTTAATAAAAACTATTAAAAATGACATAAAGCTGAAATAACATATAAATAGTAAATGGAAAGCTTACATTTAGAAAACTTAAAAATTAGAAATGTTGCCTTGGCTAACTGAAATAAGTAGAAACTGATATAAAAAATAAAGCTAAACAGAAATGTAAAAAAAAAAACTAAAAAAACTCAAATTAAAATGAATCTAAAATATTTTAAAATAAAATATAATTCAAAATATAAATAAATACTAAAATAGTATATAAATAACCTGTTTCGGATGAACAGAAGTTGATTTGTCTGCCATGTCCTGGCGCAGGGTCATGATCGGAGGAGTGCGGGTTCGAGCGCTGTACAACTACACCGGAGAGGAATCTGATGAACTGTCATTCAAAGCAGGTGATCATGTGGAGATTCTGCAGTTAGACTGTAACTCTGAGTGCGGTGCTGGATGTGACTGGTGTGGGTCTGTCTCACAGGTGAAGAGTTCCTCAAGGTGGAGGAAGAGGACGATCAGGGCTGGTGCTGGGGCGTGAAGGAGGGCGGAGTCGAGGGATTTTATCCGACCAATTACGTGCTGCCTGTCAAATGATGTCATGATTCATCACTGAGGCACAACCATGCTTATTTACAGTTATGGAAAACTTACGGTGGCCATTAAGAACGATATAAATGTGAATGTCATCACATTAGAAATTGCCAAGAGCTTTTCTCAGAACTAACTTTTTCAACAATATCTATTGTTTTATCATTTAAAATCGACTTTTTGTGATTTTTTTTTTTTTTCGCTTGAAAAGTCTGTTTGTGTTACATTTCTGTACATTTAAGTGTTACTTAGTTTGATATTTTATCTAATGCAGTGACATTCAGACATTTTTAACTGTCCAAATACTTTCAGTTTGCCGTATCTTTGGTAAATAATTTACTTTTGTGTTCCTTGGAAAACAACTACAAGACGTGTTTCTACAGACCAAAATGAAAATAAAACATGAATTCTCTTTCATGAATGAAAACTAGTAATATAGGATGTCATTCATTTTAATTAACACGTTTTTTTTTTCTCCTATGCTTTTGGAAAACCTCCAAGTGAGCCAGAGACCAGCAAATGATTCAAGCAGAGTCAAGAAACGTCCTCTTTGTAATTTATATATTGCTTAATGAGGGGTTGTACAAAACCAGTAGGAGCTTGTTAAAAAGATTACGGGGCACTGGAGAAACAGCCTCCATTATCATCAGAGCCAAATCTATATTATATTTCACCTACAGGAATCAGCACCTGATCAAGTGGACTGAATGAAACTTTAAATAATATTTAAACACGCTACTCTGCAACATCCAGGACTGAACCAGCAAAGGAGGAATTTTAACAGGTATCCTTATAAAGAACAAGGAACAGGTGCGTAACTATAGCAAACCAGTCATTAATCCTGGAATGACAGGGACCTCTGGTGGTGGATCCGAAATCACATCTCTCCATCCGTTTTAATGCTGTTTTCCACAGTCAAGAGAGGACTTAAAGCTTGTCTGTTTTATTGTGTGCATGCAATATTATTTTGAATATTTTGTGCATTTGAAATATTATAAATACAGTTCAGTTACACTACCATTCAAAAGCTTGGATTTGGTAAGGTCTTTAAAATATTTTTTTGGGGGAGGGGAGTGCCTTCTTGCCAAGGCTACATTTAGTTGATCAAAAATACAGTAAAAATAGTAATAATCTGAAATATTATTACAATTCAAAATAACTGTTTTCTATTTGAATATATTTTAAAATTAAATTTATTCCTGGGATGCAAAGTTGAATTTTCTGCATCATTACGCAATTCTTCAATGTCACATGATCCTTCAGAAATCATTCTAGAAATCTTCAGAAACATGCTAATGTCTTTACTCAGTTTTAATCAGTTTAATGCATCTTTGATGAATAGAAGTATTAATTTATTTATAAGTATTCATTATTAATTAAAAAATGTTCATTCATGAAGATGCTAATTTACTTCTGCGTTTTGATTGTTCATTAATAAATTATTAAATCTGTAAACTCTATCTTTAAAAAAATCCAGCATCATTTTGTAGCATCATTAGTTCACTAACAGACTGCTTTTAATTGCAAACCATTTGTTAGTCTTGTGTAGCAGTCCTGAGCCATTATGTAATTTATTGAGGCCCACCAACCACAACGATAAACTGGCTAATATTTCGTGTCTGCGCTCACATACTTGTGTCAGTTATGTTTCTGGCCTAATATTACGGTGTAAAAGTTCATAATCTGACTGGTAATGGGAAAGTTTTGTGTTAGTATAAGTAATACCACTAACCCACTTATCAAATACGGCTTTCATTTGGACGTAAGCATTAGCATCTAGCTAATTTCATTGCAATTAATTATTACTTAAAGGCACAATATGTAAGATTTTTTTTTTAAATATCCAAAAACCACTAGAACAGTGTTATATATTTTGCTGACTTGTGTACTTACATTATCCCAAATGTTTCGAAGAATGTTTAAATCCAGATAAATGAGCCATTTTAAAGGGGTTATATGATGAGATTTCAATTTTTCCTTTCTCTTTGTAGTGTTACAAGCTCTTGGTGCATAAAGAAGATCTGTAAAGTTGCAAAGACTAAAGTCTCAAATCCAAAGAGATATTCTTTATAAAAGTTAAGAGTCAACCACACCTACCTAAAACGGCTCGTTCTAAAACGCCCCCACATATCTACATCACTATGTGGGAAGATTTGCATAACGCCGCCCAAATGTTCACGCAAAGAAAG